GCCATCCTCCCATCCAGCCATCCCACCACCCGACCATCCTCCCTCCCATCCTCCCATCCTCCCATCCTCCCATCCTCCCATCCTCCCATCCTCCCATCCCGCCATCCTCTCATCCTCCCATCAAGCCATCCCAAAATGTGAAACATATGCTACATTATTTTCGTCGTGCTTATTCTCGTACTGCAGGATGAATGTCAACCACAATGCATCGCACGACAACGTATCGTCGACTGCCACTTCATCACAAGGCAACAATTCAAATACACCGGCCTTGGATCTCATAATATTCGACAAAAATATATGGGAACATGATATCGTCAGCATAGACTCTCGCTATTTACACCTTGTCCGAAATATCGCGCCGGACGGTGAAATCCCCATGTCTTGGGTCATGGGAGGCAACGGCATACAGCCTCATCGCGACGACGACAAAAACTTCTGGTACTTGTACTCGTTGGAGCAAGAAGTCGATATGGAGCTCGACGTCGAGGACAGTACTGAAGACCCTGTTACACCAACTGAGATGATTGACGTGTGGAAAATATTGTGTATAAAGCAGCAATAGTCAGAGCGGGACAGGAAACACGCCAAACAATGTGCTTGGTTTTGCCTCGGAAAGCCGCACCTGCCGTTCCCGACCTTTGTAGATTTCTATGGTCGAATCCGGGTGTTGAACCGTAACACCATCGTTGTGACACTTTTCACAGCGACCAAGGTGAAGGATTAAAAAATCAATACGTTCTTCCTTGCTAGAGAGGAGTTTCACAATATCACACTTACATCTCAAGAAGCATTCAATGACCCTACACTCGCTGGATCGCTTGGGCGCTTCAAAACTCGAATATCCCATGATAATGCTGTAAGGAAAGAGCTCGACATGAGGATAGACTGCTTAGTGAACAGTCAGGTTCATTATCTGTTTGACAATTATGATGAGATATCATGGACCGTCGAACATCAAGATGACACGTTGGACGTTCTTTTCGATAGAAAAAAGTACACTCGCTGGGGGAAGAAAACAGTGACATTTTCGACTGGTTGGAGCAAAGACGTGTACGACTGTTCTTACTGTGGCAACGGACACATTCGTCTTTAGCATAGTTTTGAGACGGTCGACCATCCCGCAGGATGGAGCGGTGACGGTCGACCATCCGAATGGTCGGATGATGGGGTTATGAAATTGTTAGAACGCAGGATGGTCGGGTGGTCGGATGGCAGGATGGAAGGATGGAAGGGCGGCAGGATGCGAGGCTGACAGGATGCTTGGATGGCAGGATGGCAGGATGGTCATGTGGTCAGATGGCGGGACGGTGGGGTGGTCGGGTGGCAGGGTTCAGGTTAGGCTGGTCGGATGGCACGATGGTTGGACAGTCCAATGATCGGACGGTCGGATTGTGAAATTGTTGGATGGCGGGATGGTCGGATTGTAGAATTGTTAGAAGGCGGGATGGTCGGGTGGTCGGGTGGCAGGATGGTCAGCTGTCGGGCTGGTCGAATGGTCGGGTGGTGGGATGAGAGAATGGGAGGATGGCAGGATGGCGGAATGGCAAGATGGGAGGATGGTCGGGCAGCAGGATGGCAGGATGGCAGGGTTGCAAGATGGCAGGATGGCAGGACGGTCGGATCGAGATGAAGCTCGACCATCATATGGTGGGGTGTCGCGTTGAAGCCTGACCATCGGATGGTGGGGTGCCTCGTTGAAACCCCCCATCGGATGGTAGGGTGCCGCGTTGAAGCCCGATCATCGGATGGTGCGGTGCGACGACAGGGTGATGGTGAGATGGTCGAATGGGTGTACGATCGGACGTTTGAAGGTTCAGGGTTCAGGTTAGGCTGGGCAGATGGCACGATGGTTGGACAGTCCAATTGTCGGACGGTCGGATTGTGAAATTGCTGGAAGGCTGGATGGTCGGATTGTAGAATTGCTAGAAGGCGGGATGGTCGGGTGGTCGGGTGACAGCATGGTCAGCTGCCCGGCTGGTCGGATGGTCGGGTGGTGGGATGCGAGGATGGGAGGATGGGAGGATGGGAGGATGGGAGGATGATAGAATGGTGGAATGGTAAGATGGGAGGATGGTCGGGCGGCAGGACGGCAGGATGGCAAGGTTGCAGGATGGAAGGATGGCAGGACGGCCGGGTCGAGCGGTGACGCTCGACCATCGTATGGTGGGGTGTCGCGTTGAAGCCCAACCATCGAATGGTGGGGTGTCGCGTTGAAGCCCCGCCATCGGATGGTAGGGTGCCTCATTGAAGCCCGACCATCGGATGGCGCGGTGCAACAGTAGGGTGATGGCGAGATGGTCGAATGGGTGTACGATCGGATGTTTGAAGGTTCAATCGGTAGGTGACTAAGTGTGGGTAGGTGGGGGCAACAATCCCGCGATTGTGGTTGAAGAAATATATGCAGTGACTAAGTGTCAAGACCTCAACAAAAGAACATACACCGAACTTTATTTGTAATAAAGTAAAGTCAGACTCCAATTGTATAAGAAACCTATGTATCGACAGAATGCGAGACAATTACAACATATATTGATCAGAAGCAATGCATGTATACATACATGCATGTGTTCGCGAATAAAACTAAGTGTGTTTGTGTGTGTGTTTGTGTGTGTGTTTGTGTGTGTGTTTGTGTGTATGTGCATCCATGTGTGTGTGTGTGTGTGTGTGTGTGTGTGTGTGTGTGTGTGTGCGTGCGTGCGTGCGTGCGTGCGTGCGTG